ACGGCACTACACACTTGCGGCGGAAAAGGTTCACCAACCTCGCCACAGTAGTCCCGAAAATCAAGATCTGATTTCCCTGAACCGGCTGGACGAGGTCCTCATTCACAAGACCGAGAATCCCGTTGTGCAAGTTGCGGCTGTCACCACACGAGCTTCTCGAGTGGGAACGCTCGCGGGAGTCATGCAAGAGGCCCTGATGGAGGAGGAAGTCTGGATCACAGGCATGAAGAAGTATCTGAGTGGCACGATCGCCGACCTCGCCCAGGCGGAACCAAGATCGTACGGCAAGATCGCGGCCGACTATGAGGTGGACTAACATGATCTACTTTTTACGGCCCTCCCACGCCGAGTTCGGGGGACGATCACGATCGGTTGCTGAGACTGGTAGTACCCGAAACGTGCAATCGGACGTCTTATACCACTATCAAACTACGCTAGAGGGTGAGTGTCAGGGAGTAGGCCGTACCTACCAGCGTATCAGGGATCACTTTCACAGGAGAGGATTATATCAGAGCGTTCACAGATATGCGGGAGAATGCGTGGACTGTGAAATAGGAAAAGCGAAGCCTGTGATCCAAGGTGAATCACCAGAGAATCTGCAAGCGGCGTATCCTTTCCAGATCATCGCGATGGATCATATACCGCCTCTGCACAGATCCTACAAGGGGAATACTGAGCTGCTGATCTGGGTCGATTTGTTCACGGGATACATGATCGCGAAAGCTAGTGCGTCCCGGTCGGCCCAGACGGTCGCGGAATCGTATGAAGAGTGTGTATTTAGACAACAAGATCCTGGGACAACGGCAGCGAACGATGATGGCGTACCGACCTCAAGCCAACGGGACCGCGGAAATAATGGTGTACAGACAGCGACCAGGGCGCTCCAGATGTACGTTCGCGATCTAGATCAGAAGAATTGGGTTGAGTACGCTGAGCGCCTTACCTTCGCGATCAACATGGCTCACGATCGGATCAGAAGAGATACTCCTCATTATCTGGTGCATAGGTGGGATCCGAGACCAACGTTGGAGACCACAATCCCAGTCGGATGCACCAGACGGCGCGATCGGGACTCGCGACGGTGGCGATATCGGGTCCAACGGCTTTATCAGCAGTCACGGGAAGCAGTTAACGCCAGATTGCGAGAAGCCATTGGGGATCGCGACAGCCGACATAATGAGGACGTAGGATTGCACCTGATCGAAGCGGGATCCCGAGTTTGGTTATATCTGGACCGAGTGGTTAACGCCAGATTGAGAGAAGCCATTGGGGATCGCGACAGCCGACATAATGAGGACGTATGATCGCACCTGATCGAAGCGGGATCCCGAGTTTGGTTATATCTGGACCGAGTGAGAGAAGGTTACGCTCGCAAAATTGGCCCACCTTTGGCACGGGCCGTTCCGAGTCGCCGAGAAGATCAACGAATTCACCATCAAACTCGAGATCGCAGGCACGGGATACCCGATATTCCCGGTAGTTCATGTGTCGAAGCTATAATTGGTAAGGGATTTCCCGGATCGGCCTCGAGTCGAATTCACCGTGCACGAATCAGATCGCTTCGACTTTGACGAGGTCCTGCTTCCGGAGGATAGTTGGGTCCCAGATCCAAGAACCGACGATTATGAGGGGGAACGGATCTCGGACGTGCGGAGTGGGAAGAAGGAGCGATTCGGTCGGGTCTACAGAAATTTCTGGTGCATTGGGTGGGATACGACGAACCGACCTGAGTCGACGAAGCTAACCTCAACTGCGGCGCAATGCTGAACGCCTTCCTGCGAGAGCGGGTGAATCGTAACAGATTCAGCGTGGTGCAATCTCATGAAGACATGTGAGGAGAGACGAGGTGAGACTGCCTGATCGTCTCAACCTGGAAGGAATGGAAGCCAGTGAGAAGACTGAGATCAGGAATCTATGTTGTATATGTGTATATGGAGAAGGAAATCGGACCTCACGGAGAGATCGCGGAAGACATGGAGAAAACGAAGAGAGGTCACACCGTGGGCGCAACGAAAAGGGCAAAACAAACTGAAATGCTGCTGAGAATGGTTAACTACGGAACATATAGGACGAAATCGAGTTCTCGGGATGGCGAGCGGTGATCGCGGGTGTTTCCCTCGGAACGGAGCCGGATTCTCGAATTAAGGGGGTGTCGGAGCCGCAGGAGGGTTGAACTTGTTCACAAGATGAGGGATCTGCAGCGAAAGATGATCGGCGGGTTGGTCGCGGAAGTGGTTCCGACAGGGATCGTTGATCACATTCTAACAGCGCGGTGATCAGATCGGTCGACACTGGGAAGTTCGCGGTCGGCTCCGCGAGATTGGCCGCAGGTAGACGGATCCGAGATACCAGCGTACTCGATCCTGGGTTGTCGGCAAATGGAGGAAATATGGATTCAGTAGGAGATCGAAAGGGTCCGCATCATCGGGAGACACGCCGCAAGCAGTTTGCACCAGCGATCTCCAACTCGGACGGCGATCGCGATGGTATTGCAGGAGATCCAAGTCCGAGATGCATATCTCCTTCGTGATCCCGAGGTAATGGGTCGATTCACAATACGCCTGCAAGTGATCCGCCCCCAGGCCCGCATAGGACACGGCGATCCGCCATAGAGGGGTGTTGGCACGTCGGTGCAAGTGGCGATCGAACGTCAGCGAAGGGGGATGGTTCTGAAGTGCGAGCCACGGCTGCGTAGCCTGCAGGGTCAACACGTTCGCACCGGTGATCAGCTCGGAGCGATAATCTGTCCTGGGTATGAGAGCTCGGATTGGGGGCATCCGCGCAGCATAAAGGAATCCGGACGGAATCAGCAACCTCTCGGTCAATGTGGCCGGGATCATGGCAGTGATCGGTACAGGCCCCACGATGGGCGGATCCCACAGGAAGATCAGTGCAGCCGTTACCACCCGGACAGTAGAATAGCTGGGAACACTCACTTCGGGAGGAAACAACGGCGGACCCAGCTGATTGGGCGAGCCCCCACCGGAGGAGGTGCCACCGGGTGAACTGCCACCAGGAGAATCTCCACCTGGAGATGCACCCGGAGATTCTCATCCGGAAGATCCGTGAGGTGAGGGTTGAGGGGGTTCGGGTCCGTTTCCCGAGGGGGGGTTAGGTTTCCTGCGGGAGGCGTAGAGGGAGTAGACCCATCCGGTCGGCGAGGAGAACTTAATCGTCACGACCGTCGCCACCTCCGCTCGGGATGTCGCCCTTATCTTCAGGTTCCTCACGATCGGCTTTGTCCCCGCCCTCGGCCTCCTCGATCTCGGGATTATCTTGGTCGCCAGAAGGAGAAGTGGGAGGATCACCACGGGGAGTCTTCAGATGAGGTGACTGGGTAGGAGAACGAGGCGGACTCCGATCGCGTTTAGGCATTCGAGACTCTTGGCTCTGCCGAATCCTGCCAGCCAAATGCGTCAGAAGCGGGTCTGCCTCAGACAGATCTCCTTCGGCCAGATCACGCAACTCGTTGAGTTGATCATAGGCCTGCTCAAGATCTCCCATCCGGTTTTCCCACCCCTGAAGTTCCAAGGAAACACCCTCCAGGTCATCATCTTTATGGAACAAGCGTTAGAAGAAAACCATGTAAGACCAGATGGGGAAATTCACTTATCCAGCTGGGGGACCCGGGCCGCTTTGGTGAGGAGCTTCAAGCGGGCCTGATCACGATCTGCGATCGCCTGATCTCGACTCTGGAGAGCTGTATCGCGATCCACGAGGGCTCTATCGCGGTCCTCTCCGACTTGAACGAGTTGTGTGAAGGCTCGATCCCGATCCGAGGTAACCTGCGTCAGAGTCGCACGAACGCGCGCGAGGTCAACCAACGCGTGATACCCGGCCGTCTGGACTAATCGGGTGGAAGATCCGAGAGGTGAGCTCCCTCCGTGATCGGGTTGAGGTTGGATGAGACTTGAGGAGATCTGGTCTGAGTCGTGGCAGACTTGGACCTCGCGTCGTCGAGCTCGCGCTCTAGGCCGCGAACCTACTCCTGCAAATCCCGTACTTCGTCCCCAGCCTGGACGGCATCCTGGCATAGGCGATTGCGTTCCTCCTCGGCCAGGCGCAGATCGTCACGAGTGGAGCTCCCGTGGCGCTCGGAGTCGTTCCGTTCCGCGCGGAGTTGATGGACTTGGGTGTGGAGACCGTCGGGATCGTCTTCTGCGTCGCTAGCGATGTTGGAGATCTCGGTCTCCAGACGGGTGATCTCATCGCGCTGCCCGTGTTGAAACGTTTCCATGCTCCGGATGTCAGCTCGTTGGTGACGCACTTGTAAATCCAGATAATCCCGATCCCTGACGAGATGATCTCGAGCGAGGTTAACTTGGCGGAACTCAGCCTCCAAAGCTGCTAACCGCCGGCCTAGATCGGAGATGTGGGAGCGCGAGCGGCGCGAGATGTTGGAGTAACGTGATCGATGACTCCCCGTCGACATGGGGGAGTCGGGAGGGTCGGAACGGGGGTGCTCCCAGAGTCGCTGCCTTGTTAGCTCATGGTGGTCGGCTGGCTGAAGACGTGGGAGTTGTGAGCGCGAGTCGCCAAATTCCGGAATGAGACCCGAAGTGAGCCGTGGCGGTCCAATTTGCAGGCTGTGGGCGGATGTTGTGAAGTGCAAATAAGATCTCACGAGAAAGGCAACCTCGGCTGACAGATCGCGAGAT